ATAGAGCCGCAGATTGTGTGTTATGTACCCTCTGACACCAAGGAGCAGGCGATATCACCACCACAACCGCCAGGAAAAAAAGGAAGCCCCGCATCCCAAAATGCTTTGTTACCCACTGGCCACTTGCCACGTCTTAGAGGTGACTAAACTGTCATAAGTAATACCTGGACTAAATAATTCGAGAATTACCTTGAGGCTGAATAAAAATAATATTTCGTAGAATAACAAATGAAGAACAGATTCATGAGACTAAGATTTGCTGCTGGCCATTCTGGTCATTCACAGAGTGCAAAAATGAACTTGTTTCACTGGGACATGTCAGTGGCCCAGATGGCCCCTAGAACAAGAGGGGGACACCAGAGCAACCGGAGTGCCTCAGGAGTGTAGGCAAGGGAAAAACTAAAGCAGAGTAAATACTGTCCCTTTGGTTTCATCTTTTCATTTATGAAGTGAACAGACTATCTTGGACCTTAAGGATGGCAGAATTTCTGAAATTCCTGGGGGGGGTCTATGCTCTTGCCTTACTTAGGCTTGCTTTCATGCAGTAGACCATTTGTTGTCCCAATGGAGAAGCACAAAAAAGGGAAAGCTAAAAAATTCTTCATTTCTGCAGTTGTTAGAATTGTAGATTACACTTACTCTATATCAAATACATAGAATTCATTCTGTAGGAAGTGGTTTTCTTGGAACTCAGTTCCCCTTTTTATGGCTTGAAAAAGGGAACATGAGAGTAAGACCTGATAGTAGAGAAAATTTTGGTGGAGTTTTTAGCAATTGTAAAGTCAGGGGGATTCCAGGAAAAAGCTGTTTAGATCTTGGTGATTTTGCCATCACAACTTGTTAGTACAGCCTTGCCTTTTAGGGAACAGTCATGAACAGTTTGATGTGCATACTAAGATGTACAACTCATCAACACCCCCACCCCATCTTTTCTGGATTTGTTTTCAGCTGTTTCCAAGTAAGATCTTACTTAGGACCTCATAAAGCAGAGGGCTCCCCCCAGGGACTGGCTCCCTCTGTCTCATTAAACCACATTTTGAAACAGGAATAACAGTACAAGGTCTGCAGTTAAAGGCTACTCTGTCAAAGCAGCTGGATTGATACTGAATTATTTAAGGATTACATACCAAAAAGTATTATTATTGGTTGCTGCTTATTTCTGAGGAAGGTATAAGCAAATTAGAAGGAATTATTCAAGGTTCCTGTAGGTTTCCTTTGATTGTTTTTCATAGTGAAATTAAACAAGTACAAAAGGAAGGTGAGCAAAAAGCTTTATAGAAATGCTGTTTAATCTGAGAAAGTCTTAAAACTTAACTTCAGTTGTTTGTTTGGTTTTTTTAAATAGTACTCACTTTGAAATGTCTAGGCTTCCACTGTTTTCCAGTACTAAAACTGGAGTCTTACAGTCTTCGTGTTTTCTGATTGGGTTGCTTCACAAAAGACATTAAAATCTTCCTGAAAGAAACATGATCATTTACTAAAATAAATACCGTGAGAATTTTAAGTTCCTGCTTTGTATAACAGGTGAAATTACATCAGATCCAGAAGCATAAGCAGAACAAACATTGTAAAACATTCAAGGACATACCGATAAGGACAAGGCAGCTGTGGCTGGCTACAGTAGGCTGGGCTAAAGGGTTTTGGTGGGTTGGAACAAAACACTGGTGCGATTCTCAGAACTTGGGCTTTTACAGCATAGAAGTGTCACACCAGATTAAAGGCATTATTTGATAATGGTTTAGCTCAGTGCTGAGAACAAGACCATTATATTAGCACCTCTGAGGCAGTACAGTGTTTGAGATATAATATGCATGGTTAAATGTGCTATTAACTACTGTGTTGGTTGGTAGGATCCGTATAGCAGTTGGGTTTTGAGTCTATAACAGAAGCATGAAACAAAGCCCTTATCGGTATTACCACTACTTTTGCCACTGTGTTGCTGGATTTCCCTGGTACATGCTCTTTCTAGGCAAACCTGTTTTATAAGTAGAAAGAAGCCACCTTAGTGTTCACTGTTAGGAGGTGTACGAGAACCGATTTTTTCTTGCTGCCTGCCAGAACCTTCCAGGCTAATTACAAGGCTTTTTCCAGTGGTTTTATCCTGTTAAGTAGGAAGTGGCTTGAGGATGATATTGTGGTACATTTGCTAGATATACTTTTATTCTTTCAAGTTTGTGGGATGCCCTGAATGCTTTATTTCATTAGATACTGTGGCAAAAAAGAGCTATTTAAAATGCACAGAAAAGGACTGGCTCTTCTCTTAGATATATTTATCACAAATTAAAACAGCAAATAAGATTGGTTTAGTTTTTAAAAATGCTGGCCAACAAATAAGTGCTGTCTGATGTGATTTTTTGTTTTTCCTCTTTTTTTGACTGTTTACCACTCTCCTCCTCCCCCACAGCAAAATATCTACATTGAATGCGTATTTCTGAGTTCTCTTTACTCCTTGTGTAATTTGCAGGAGGTTTTTTTTTATGGTGTATTCCACCAGGTGGCTCTCAAGGCCCAGAATGTGAGAACTACTTGGTGCATGTAGCAACTAAGGGGATTTGGGATTATGTAGGGCATTGTAGAAAACAATTATATTCTTATAGCATGTATTCAATCTGAAAAACACTAGGAAAAGTGACCAATACCTTAATCCCTTCGGGGAAAAAAAAAATCCCACAAAGAGGAGTTGTAATGATTCTGAAAAAATATTACTGTTAAACACAATATAGTAGAAGTGCTTATATATCAGTTGGGTATTGGAGGACAGGGAATGCTGTAAGTGGCAAGAGATCTACATCTGGTTCTTTGATTATTTTTCAGCTCTTTTCTGAAAAGTTATTTCTGGTCTCCAGTTCTCCTTTTGAAAAAGTATTTGCTGCCTTGCACTTACAGAATACTTACTAAGCCTCTGTATTACAAAAAGGGAATGGATGTTAGGTTTTACAATTTTGCAATGTCCTCTTCCTTGTCTTCTGAACCATTGTTTAATTTACCTTGTCTATATGTAGGCTCATGAAATTAAAAGTCAGCAAGTTTAAATCAGTAAAATGAGCAAATATTTATGTAATTAGATAGCAAAATTAATTTCCAAAAGTATTGGTTAGAATTTTGTCCGATTTATTAAAAATTATAGATACATGTGAGTAAAGACAGGACACAACTAATGAATTTGCTGAAAAACATAAGCTACTGACTGACTGCCTGGAAGTAAAAAAAAAAAACCCACACCTTTTCCTCTGGACAGATTCCACAGAAGTTTGGGAGTTCACTGAGCTATATGATACCAGTCACTAGCAGTTACTGGATTGAGCCATGAACTGATCTCATGTGTCAGTTGCTGTTGTGTTCTTAAATGGTTTTCTCATAGAAAACAGGCAAAATGAGTCATGAACTGGGATAAACTGGAGGAAGATAATTGCCCGTGTCCAACAAATGTGGTGATCTTAGCGTAGGTCGGCATTAGTACAGGGGCTTTGGAGGTTGCATAGGTGAATAGTGCCAATGTATGCCAGAGGTAATGACCCGAGGATGATACTGGGGCTGGTTTAGAAATGGTCTGTTTGGTCCCTAGCCTCAAATAATTCACTGTAGATGAAGCAGCTTCTATTGCTCCAAAGTGCTTTTATACAGAAATGTGGGACACTGAAATACATTATGTCTTAATTAGTATACAGCAGTTACTGAAATAACTTTTACACTCTTACCAATAAAAGAAGTGTCCAGCGTTAGCAGTTGCAGTATTTCTTAGAGGACCTTGAACTCTAAATCATGTTTTTGAATACGCTAAGCAATGTTCTTTTGTGGCATGAACTTTTCCATGTGAGTTTTTAGTACTCTTTAATGGTGATGCGTTTGGAGTCCGTTTGCATTCCTGTCATCCAAACAAGCCACTTCTGCTCTATGAAAAGGCAAGCTCATTAAGTCAGCCCAGTAGGCCTGCCTACTGTTGTGGTCAAAGAGTGACTCAGTTGGTTTTCCAGGCTCTTTGGATGGCAAACCACTGACACTTTCAATGGCTGGGGAGTTTAAAATTAAAAATGAGTAACTCACTAGAGATAAGTTTGACAAGCCACCTCTTTTTGCCATATTAATTTTCTAGAAGTTTATTCTGTATCCAAATAAAACTTAATGGGGTTTATTCTGGTGAATATTCTCTAAAATTAGGTATGAAGCTATTCTGGCCAAATTTACTTTTTTCATTAAAATATAGGCTGGGGTGGGAAAAAAATTCTGGAATAAAGAAGAGGTGATGTATATTCTCTAAAATTAGGTATGAAGCTATTCTGGCCAAATTTACTTTTTTCATTAAAATATAGGCTGTCTTGGAAAGAAATTCCTGGAATACAGAGGTGGTAATGTAATCCTTAAAACTAGTTCCAACATGGAATATATCCTTGACAACTCAGTTTGAGTTGCAGTGTATATTTCTTTTGTAGTCTCTGCTTGTTTACTCTAAAGGCCAAAACCTAATTGGTCTAAGTGACTTTTGTGGAAGAGAACTATTCACAAGATACCCAAACTGCATTTAGTTTCCTGCCATGAGTAATCAGGCTGTTTTGCAGTAATTTGTTACAACCCTACATGCAGGCTGAGACATACAAGTCTGAATCCTTTCAGAAAGTTCCTGCAGTCCTTTGAGTTTAGTGTGCAACATCCATTTTTACTGGGAGAGAAATTTCACAGGGGATTGGCAAAATCTCTTTGGATGAATGATGGGTAATCAGAAACACAATGGGATAAAAGACGACTGCTTAAAATACAGGAACAAGTAGCATGTAAATGAAATGGGATATGTCCTCATTCTTCTAGCAGTACTTTGAGGCCTAAATTTGTCCATGAACTCTTTTGTAAGAAAAAAAAAATTACAAAGCAAATGTGAAAGTTCTTTTGTATCACCTTTTGAAAAATCTTTTATAAGAAGTTATTTCCTTTTGTATTCTTGCTAGGGTGGCTAACTTCACTGAGTGACTTTTGAACTGACTTCATTTCCTCACCCTGTTTTCCTCCCTTTGGCTTTGAGTCTTATTGCTGATTTTCTGTGTTTCAATAATTTCTATGGGCTCCTTTATTCTTAGCTTCTTGTGGCATTGACTTGCAATTGTTAGCTTAGAACTGATTTTTATTTAGTTATTTATTTTTAACTGTCAAAACACTAGTGAAGGGAAATTTATAGCATATTTTATGTAGCATTCAAAACCTCCAAACAAAACATCTGGTTTCCAGGGCAGAAAATTATGATTATGCCTGCATTTGAAAAGCTAGGGAACGGATAATTCCAGAAAGAAAAGGCTTCCCTGTGTTTTGGACATGCACAGTGACATCGTCCACCTAACTTGTTTCCTCTCCCAGTTGCTACAATTTTGTCACGTTATATCTAAGCAGAGTGAAAGCTACCTCCATTGGCCCTAATACCCATTTAAAAGAAACTCCTAGTCTAGTAGCAACTGGCACATATTAAATAGAGTCCTGTTTACCAAACTAAATTATACCAAGTATAGCACTTAACATCTAGTCATTCTTAAATGAATGTTTTATAGCAGAAAAAAAACCTGTCATCTGCCAAAATGCCTTTATTATAATGTACATTAAAGCTATAGATTTTGTAAAGTGACATGCTGTCATTTGATGATGTTTTACTAATTACTCAGTGTTTGTTTTGGTTTTTTGAAGAAGAGTAGACTTGATGTAGCCTAAATTGAAAAGCTTGAGTTAAAGTAACTGAATGCTATTCTTGCATTTCCCTGGAAGATGAGCGCATATGTGTTTGCTTCATGTCAGTAGGGCATATCAGCTAATGCAAACAGGATAGAGATACCTGCTGCAAAGTGACTGCAGTATTACTATGAAGTGTTGCAGGGCAAGCAGAGATCCATGTATACAAGTTTTTGAGGTAAGCATGAGAAAACAGCTTTTATGTGCCACTAGAACTGGTGTGTACTGCTTAAGAGTGATTAAAAAAAGCTGTGAAAGAATGAAAAACTTTCAAGATTACTGATTTTGGTTAAATGTATTGGTAGTCTCTTCCATATTTATATGAACAAGGTAGTGCTGTAATAATACTAAGTTCAGAGCCAAGGTTTGTTTGGTATTAACTCAGTGTCATCATCCCCCGGCCCCAAGGTGACATGGATAGTCTTATCACAGAATAGCTTCTGATTGAAGACCAATTACTCTGAAAACTAATGTCATCCAAATAAAAAAGTCAAACTTTCTTCAACTGGAAAAAAGGTAATATAGATGTAGATGTGGCTTTTTTTTTTAAGAAACCCTCCCAGGTTTCTGTTTCCAAGGTCAAATTTTGCCCTCAGATTCCCTGTGTCGTCGTCCTCACTGCTGCAAATAATCCTTCTGGTTTAGAGCTCTCCTTTGTGCTACTCTGTGCACCATGCTTATTCGCCAGTTAGATTTCTCAGATTTTGCAGTTAGTTGCAAAAATCATTGAACCTTTCTATGGCAACCTTGGCAATGAGTTTTTCCTGCCTTTGTATTGATAAAGATACAGAGAATTTCAAATTCATGTCCAGACTATTTGGGGAACAGCCTGTTCTAGCATCTCCAGGAACTGTCTCAGTACCTTTAAAATATGACCCTTAAGATCTTTGAAAACCCATATACTTTATTTCTTTTTTTTTAACTCTTCTGATGCCCAAGGAAATTGTAGATGACTCAGTCAATTAATATATAATTGACCTGTGTTTTAAAGTTTCCATAGGTTTGTCCAGCTTGAACAAGATATACTGCCCTTTCCAGCGAGGTATAGATGGGGTGCTCTGCTATAACTATAACTCAGCTCCACCAGGTGGCTGTCACACTATGAGAGTGTGTGCTGTGAAGGTTTCTACCAGCACATGAAGGGCGGTGTTTAACATTACATTATCAAAGCACTGCCTTGGATTTTAATTATCGAACTCCTACATGGAATTTAATGGGAATTACAACTGAACTGTAGTAACTTGGTTTATTTTCTCATTAGTTACCTTCAGGCTTTGGTCACAGTCAAACAGTTCTTTACATCTGAACGAACATGCAAGGTTTGTTTCTGCTGTAATAAAGTCTAGGTATTCTCTCCATACATCCTGTTCACAGGTAGTGAGTTTGAGGCTAACACTTTAAAATGCATTTCCAGGAGAAGAGGCTTGCTTTCTGAAGAGCTTCTGTACGATATTTTATTTTGAAAGCTAGATAACAAACTCTTTTGAAACTAAACTTTTGAAAAAACTCTTTTGAAAGCTAAATAATAAACTCCAGGACACAGTAACAAATTGAGTTTGAATTTTTAAAGATCTTAAATATATACTGTTTTATTATAGTAAGTAAAGATGGCTCTGTATTGGCATTGTACCAAGCTTCTCTAGGCAAACTATTTTCTTGATGCTGGTTTTATCATCCGTCTCATTCATTTTCTTTTATACAGGTATCACAGGAAAAGATGACCTTACTGTGGGTGCAACTACAAGTGGAAAAGTGAATTTTTACCCCTGGACAATAGATAATAAATATTATTCTGCAGATATTCACCTCTGTGTAGTACCAAACACATTTCTTGTTACTGGAGATATTGCTGAATCTGTGCAAGCATTTGTTGTGTACTTCGACAGCACAATAGTAAGACTTCTGCTTCATTATATTGCTTTATCTGTATGATATAATTGCCTTATCACAGTGATAACCACAAATTATATTCTCTTCCCATCCATTGTGCCATCCATTCCTTTTAGGCTGTTCTATTAATTGTCAGTAGATCAATGTTAAATTATGCCCGCTAACAATGGAAGCGGTTTCCTTCCCTTTTACTATTATACTCCAGCTGGAAGAGAGGTTTTCAGGATGCAAATATGCCACTAAGTTAGGCAAATCTTCCTCCAGCCCACCACCTCCAACTTTACTCCTAGCTGGTGGTAGTTCAGAAAGGCTGCTTTAGGATAGCCAAGAATGAGGGAACTAAATGTAAGATTCAGTGCTATCATTTTACCTGAAATTGTTTCTACTAAGCTGGCAGCAATGAAAACAGTGCTTTAGCAAAAGCCAGAAAGATTCTGAGACAAAAAATATTCTAAATAAAGAACTGTTTTTCACCACAGATGGGAAAGGGTGCATACCACACATTCTGAAAAGATACCTTTAACCAGACATCTCAGGGCTGTCTCAGAATGAACTAGAGCAATGGGAGTAGTTCACCAGCCCCCGTAACATCCACTTTAGTGTGGAAGATTGAGTAGCTGCATGTTAAACCTGAGATATGCTTAAAATGAAATACTCATGATTAGCCTTAAATAGAAATCTTTCCTGATCTACACTAGGATTGCATAATTAATATTAAACAGGAAAAGGGAGGTTCAAGGCAGTAGGATTAACTCATCTGTAAAGTAAGTCAAGAATCAGAAGGAAGTTGTGTATAAGTCAACTTCTCTGATTAGAACACAAGTGCCTTAAACATACTTGATATGCAGCCTTGCATATTTCCTTACTTCATTGCTTTTATTCTAATACTATTAATGATTTAAAACTAGTTTAAAAACTAAAGTATTTGAGGATGTATTCCAAAGAACTGTTATTTTTCTTCCCTTTAGAAATCTGGACTTGATAGTGTCTCTGAATGGCTTCCCCTGACAGAAGAGTGGTTACCAGAAGTCATGATCCTGGTTTGTAACAGAGTATCTGAAAATGGTATGAAGCCCAAAGACGTTCTGAACCGATTAGTTATTAACCTTGCCTAATAATTTATTTTCTAATTAAATCAACATAATTGTTTCTTAAAATATCTGTGTGAGACTGGGCTTGAGATTTAATTGAGAAGAGCCAGGTTACTCTCACGGCCAGGAACAGAAGAGTCTTAAGCTAGTTGTAGTTAAAACTGAGTCAGAATTTTACAAGCTTGCTTGAAATGAGCTCTGTGTATCCCATTCCTAGTATACCAGCATGCACTGCAAGGTAACTAAAAAGGCATTCATGTTACTGGATGTGCATGATCCTCTCTGGTGAAGAATGAGGATGACTGTTGGTTGCTTAACTACAGTGGAAAGTACATTCATCTTTTTGACCATTTGGACATTAAATACACACGTTTGCTTTGGTTCTAGATTAGTATATGCAATACAACAGCAAGCTGTAAGGTGCAGATATGTCCCTGTAACTTAATTCAGATTTAAACCTAGAGTTAATAGAAGTCTTCATTCACTGTGGCACTTCACTTACATTTCCCTTTGAGTACCCATTGCAAAGCCATTTGATTTTATGGTATTTGAAAAAAACAGTTCAAAGGAGGAGTTTAACTCTGGAGTTTTTGGAATCAAATTCAAAGTGAATGGAGGACCCACACCAGCTACTATATACTTCTTCCCCATACAATCTAGAATAAGCAAACAACTTTGAGGGAATAAAATGTAGCTAAAGATTCAACTGCTGATATTAGTCTCAAATGTGTATGTTTAGCATGCATTTTTGTTTCCCAACTTTAGGTGTTAACAGACAGAAAGCTCAAGAATGGTGCATCAAGCACGGCTTTGAACTGGTAGAACTTAGCCCTGAGGAACTGCCTGATGAAGATGGTAGGACTGCTACTTCTGTTTTAATTTTTAGCATGAAAAAGCACACCAAAATATCTTCTAAACAATTGCAAGGGGCATAACTTTATTTACGTGCTACATGATTACAGCATGGAATGCTCCCAGTTGGTGAGGCTTAGTCTCAGCTATAAAAGGTCAGGAGGAGGAGGTTATTTCCTCCAAGAAATTCCATTTGTCTCCTCCCAAATACAGCTGCTGTTTATGTAGCACCTACATAAAAATATCTGCTCCTTTTTCTGGCACTAATCCTAGGACTGTATTGATAGATTAGAAGCATTTACGTTCCACTTTGGAAATAAATCTAAAAAACAAGAACCAGAGAGATGCACAACAGCAGGAAAATCCTTTGTCTTTTTAAAAAAGACTTTTAAAACTATTGTACATACCAAGAGAAGATAGACATTATTCAAACAGTGACATGATAGGCTGAAAAGGGGAGCTTGTTAAAAACATTTCAGAATAGCATGCAGTGTTGCACAGGAAATAAACCAGTTTCAAAATCACTGGCTGACCATATGTTTATAACTTGAAAAAACCCATCAAGCAAAGTCAAAAGTGTGATGTGTGATGTTCCACTCTTGAAAAGTGACTGTGCACTTCCTGACAGCCTTATCAGCATCAGCCTTACCTCCTCATTTCAGTGATACAAGAAAAGTGTTTACATCTTACCTCTATAGAGCCAAAATGAGATAACTGACTCCATTTCCAGGCTTGAGTGGAATTAGTCACTAGCATTTGCTCTATTTCAGGTTCACCAAGTACATAGCTGTGACCAAAAAATGATTTAGTCTACAGGTCTAAGCTAGAACTCAAGTCCCACCCTTTCCCCCCTTT